ATCACCTGCTTAAATCTTGTCTAGTTTATATTGTGCTTATTACTGTATGTTATACGAGTTCATATGTACTATATGAAAAAGAAGCAATAAAATATGGGCACTCTAGTGTCGAAATCTTTTGGTTGGCCTAGACTTACAAATAACAACATATTATTTGTGAAAATTTTTCCCTCGTATTGGGGATAAATTTATTAATTTTACTAATTTATTATATTTATTGTATGTTCTATATTTAATTAATTATGTAGTCCTCGTTAGAGATTTGCTACAGAAAGTACCTATTCGTAAGTATTCGAAAGTACCTTCGCACTATTTTAAAATCTTTTTACGTGCAAAACTCATATAATTTTATGTTTTTCTCGATTTGTTACAATTTTGAAGAAGTATCCGGCTTTTATCGATACCATGGTAATCGAATATTAAAATTATATATTTGTCTTTATTATTTTTATAAACGTTATTTATTTCTCCTTAATAATTTACCTCAATAGAAAAACTACCTTTTCTTTAATACGAATAAAGTTTACAATAAAATCTGTTTGTAACGATACACAGTTTAATTTTAAGCCATGTCACCCAGCCTAAATAACCGGATTTGTAAATAATTAATTATTTACACCTGAAATAAACATTGTGGTAAATTAATAATTGACAGGTTTTGAATTTTAGACCTTTATTCTATTTTTTTACACTTCTTACTATACTAGCACGTGTTTTTTTTTAACCTAGTCATTGGAGTAGTGTTCTCTTATGTCAGTTCTTTAATTAGTAACAACTGTTAACTTTTCCCAGATTTTTCTCGTAGAAAATTTTTTTTCACATTAAAATTTAATAAAAACATTAATACCTATTTAGAAATAAATACTGGAAAACAGGAAGAAGAGCAAAATAATCACTATTGCAATAGTAATAGTTTTAATAATTTGTTTTCTTTCTAAAACTGTCAGGTTGCCTTAAAATTAGAGTATTATTGTCATAAAATTGAACTTACAAACTTGTCAAAATAGTCTACGTAATTATTAGAAAAGATGTTTCGAGGTAGCTCAGTGACCTTGAGGCTTTATCATAACCCAAGGACAACAAAAGGTTCCCTAGAGAAATATTCTTATCACACTCACACTATCACAACGATACGTCAACCGCCGCCGCCGCGCCGCCCCGTGTGTGTTAACACATGTTAATTCTTGTAAAAAAAATCAGTAAAAACTAGTGTTGCCACCACCATAAAAGTAAATTAATAAATCCGAGCCTGTTTTGGAATCTGTTTAGTCAATGGGTTGTTTCAATATTGTGGTTTCTATGTACTGATATTATTAATTGATTCATTCATTCTATCCATGTTATTCGTTAACTATGATGTAATCATCAGCTAGCCGAATATTACATCTTATAAAAATACACTAGATTAACTCCGCTTAGGTTGGAATTGCACACTTCGGAGGGTAAATATACATTTATTAATGCAAGGTATGTTGATCACATTTTTAAATGAGAAGTTTGTATAGACCCATAAAAATTCATATAGATGATTAATTCATTTGGGATTAAAATTTAAATCGTGCACTAAGTAAGTAGTATTATTTTAATCGAAATAAAACTAAGATTAACGAATTTCAGTATAAGGTAAATATGAATGTTAGGGATGGAATGCACGAAGCAATAGGGTTTAAATATCTATAAAAATATAAAAATAAGATTTTTTAAATATGGATAAGTGTAATCTGGTGTTTTTATAGGTAACACGTCTCTAAACAGTAATTCAAAGGTGGCTTTAACTTTGTTACAGTAGTTGCAAGGGAATATGGCGGAATTCTCAATGATTTCTGGTAAGATGGAATATTCGTCAACATTATATAGTTTTAGTTTTATACAGTTTTATTGCCCTCATAAATACATTGTTATTCAATAATGCAAACTACTCAGTTGTTTTCATTTGAAGGCCGTAGATTATTTTTTGCTGTCTAGATCTACCACAAACACTAATCAAACTCTAAAATGTTGTATTGCAATTTTGCCTTGAAATTCTTCAAAAACCCTTTTGTTCAGTAGTGTATTTTAAAGTTAAAAGGCAATAAGGGAATTTTTAGGGATTGTTTGCAATACAAAAATGCTTATTTATAGTATTCTTACTAATTATTTGCATAGTTTTGTAAATCCTTTTTACGGAATTAGTAAGTTTTAATGTATTCTGAATTCTTATTGCATTAAAAAGTAGTAATTTTTTATTAAATGCTTATTTTCTTTTGGAGAGAATTGTTTATGATTATGTTAGTTTTTTATGTAGAAAGATCAATATACCGTAGTATTAAGCCCATTGTAAATACTGAAATAATAGTTATTCATTAACTATGAAACTTAAACAAGAACTAAATTTAAAGCTAAGCGAAACCGCGTAAATAAAGTAAAAATGTGTTTAATGCTAAAGAAAAGTGACATTGACAAAAATAACATCTTACAATAATATCTATATATTAATAGGCAATCATGTTTCTTTAAAACCTTTTTTCTCAGCTCCTGTGCATCCTAGGGAAAATCTACGCATACTGTTGGAAACATATTTTCCTGTAGGTGTGAAGAATCCCTTTATTAATTAAAATAGGCTAATAAAAACTGTGCAAAAAATGAATTTAAAATAAAAATAAAATAACATGGTCCTTATGGGTTGTCATGCCGGTGACGAAATAACAATGAAATATAAACAGAAAATCTAAATAAATGGAAGAAATTAAAATCACATGTTTTATTTACACAGCAAGGGGTGAAAATCTTGAAGTCTGACCACTAGATATTTTTGGTCGAGTTTTCGACCACGGGACAAACTCTCGTAATAAATTAATACAATAGCAATCAATATTTTCAAAAATGAATTTACATTTTATATATATTTCTTTTAAGTAACACTAATTATAAATGTACAACAAATAAATTTTAGTTAATTGATTGATAAATAACATTATAATGAACGCTGCATTAAGAGCACGATATCTATTGTACATAAGTTAGATATGGGAGTTTCAGTTTTAGAACAGGGTTTTGTAAATAAAGTTTAATTTCAAACCAGAACTTATGTTAAAGTGTGGTCAGTAACATTTAAAGTCAGTTTTTAACTGGTAATATAGTAGAAAAGAATGCCTGTAATTTTTGTGTTCTAGTTATAATTTTGTAGCCAGACAACACATTTTTATGTTTTTAAAGATTGATAAGTATATTAAAATATCTTTTTTTTTTAGGAAGTACCAGTAATAACGATACATGAATACAATTCTTCTGTTATTTGTGTTACTGCTATAAAATAATAACGAGAATTTGTTTTTGAAATAAAGTTAATGGATTGGGGAATTGATACGCAAAGTACAGAATTATCAATGTGCTCCTTGACAATAATTACTTTACCCAAAAAAATCTGGGAGTTGAGCCCCGCAAAGTTCCCTCGTTGTTGCAGTTGAATTGTTTCACCTAAAGGTGTTTGTTGTTTCTGTATACAAATAATTTGCATTTTAAAACCAAACATAATCTTTATAAATAGAATTAGACTTTTACCAGTGGATTATTATGAGCCTTCTGTTTTTGCGTTTTTTCGCTTTTTTTTACACAATGTTAGCTCATCCCTACGATAAACAGTGTCTATATCTGCCGCTGTCGTCCGATTGACGCTCTAACCGTTTTAAAGATTGTCTTAAAAAACTAATGCCGCCAAAAATAGAATTTAACTTTATGGAACAGATTACTCAAGTAAGATGTAGTCTTTCAACTAACCCAATTAAAAAGTCTATTAGTCTATAAAGTATACATAACCACCTGAATACTGTAAGTCAGTTAGGTAATTACGGTTAATTAGCTAAACCGTAACAATCGCGAGTTAATTGTACATTTAACAAAAATGCCTACTATCAAGAAGTTCGTACAAGTCAGTTAGGTAATTACGGTTAATTAGCTAAACCGTAACAATCGCGAGTTAATTGTACATTTAACAAAAATGCCTACTATCAAGAAGTTCGTACAAGTCTAAGAATTTGTAGGCGTTGCTAATTGGTATTAGGCTACTTATTTATTACAAGTTTTGAATCGGAAAAAGGGCGAGTGCCCAAAAAAGTTGTAATTCAAGAAAATATTAAATAATACGGTTTTTGTAAGCTCACTAAAGTCTTAATTTTGGACCAATTTTTATGACTATAGTGTCAAATTGCAGGAAATGTTGTCAAGTTAAAGAATAACGGTTATATCCTTGGTTGGATAGGCTATGCTACGTTTAGAATTTATTTTTCATACAAATTTACATGTATTTCTTATAAGAGGAGTATTTGAATAAGATATTTATTATTTTATTGTATCTTGTAAATTGTTGAACCGAAATAGTTACATCATGTACTTTTCTTTTAGAAAATGTAATCTTCTTTGATTTAATAGTTTATTATTGTATACAAAAAGTTTATGGTTTTCGAGTTATTTAGATAAACCTAAAAATGGACCTTTAGAGCCCCCTAGCCCCCTTAGCTCCGGGGCGGTGGAGGCCACCGGTGGGTACTTTTCGTATGTTGTTTAGGGACCCTTCCCTTACTCCTGTACCAAATTTGGCTTATACATGAATATTTTCCTCTATTTGGTAATGTTTTGTCTTCTTTGCCTGGACTATGATAAAACAACGGGCTATTTTATACACAATACTCCGGCACAATACTCCGGAGTTATGATAACACTGTATTACGAATCATCTCAGGGATATTTCCTCGCTATGGTAGAAAAGTACATTTTTAAAGCTTAAAAATAGTTTATAAATGTGATTTTTCTTGCAATTTAAATTGTGACTCGCATACTATAGAATTGTATACTATTAGCTCTAAGGAAAGATCATTGTTAGTATTTAAATGTGTCATGTGAAATCGAACTCTTCACGGATCAAATGACAATTAAGGTTTTGTTACTCCAAAGATGACCAAGAGTGATTAGAAGCCCATTTTTAGCAATTATTTGTTTGATACATTTTAGTTCTATCTTCTTACCTCTTCCACTTCTCCCAACAAATCTGAGATCGTTGAATTTGGCGACTTGTCCCTTCATGACGGCGGTGCAGTTCCTCAGCTCGGCGCAGTAGTTCTCGTCGTTCCCGGCGCGGACCGTCACCAGCGTGCCGTCCACCACGTCTCCTAGAGCCACCACCTTGAAGGCCACGGGCAGCGTCTTGTTGGACCGCCAGTGGGAGGGTAGAGCCGAGCACATGAAGTACGGACTCCCCGTCCTCACCAGCTCTCCGGGGTGCTCCGCTTGTATCTCGCACAACACTCTCTCAGTCCACCACAGTTCGTCTCCCGCGCACGCCTCCCCCTGGGCATCTCCTCGGCGACCCACCCGTTTCTTGCCCCCTTGGTACCCGTGGCCTCCAGATGGGTCGGAAGTCATGATCCCCGGCAGATGCATTGATCCACTCGCCCACCCTCGGGCATCCGAACCTTGTCCTTCCACCCCTAGCACTTCCGCGACACTGTTGACATCGCGAGTGTTCCTGACGCTTCAAAACCACAAAAAGAGTTCTAAAACCACCAAAGTATCTGAATGTTAAGCCACGTGTTCGGTTGACACTTGTTGCCGCGTGTACGACATGTGGCTCACACACGCACGATCACAGCCTCTCTCGACGGTAGCGGGATACGGACTGGTCTGGTCTCTGTTAACCATCGTGGTCGCCCCCCGCCCCCTGCCCCCGACCGCCGCCGCCTCCTGTCATAATTTCATGGGCGATCTCCCCCGCCCCCCTTACACTCCGCTCTTTTCCTCTCTGCTTCATTGAGTCGGTCTCACGTCTTCTCATTGGTCGGTGATGTCGTGATATCGCACACGCACGCGCGCACACGGTCCTATCATTAGGTTTCTTACAGATATTGCTTTTGAAAGAAATAAATAACAAGGTCGAGAAGAAAAATGTAACACTTTGTCTAGGAACAAATGAAAATTCAATGGCATAAGGTGAATTAGTTGTGGTCCAGATGTGAACTTGAGAGGAACTTTTTTTGATTAAAATTGCTACAAGGGAAAACTTGTGTTAACCAAGCTATAGACATTTAGGAAATCAAACCTGTTCTTTTTACCGTAGCCCAAATAATTTATTTTCACGTTCTTGCGTAACAAATTGTATTGTCCCTTAAAACTTAAAATCTTAATTGTTGTTTCATTTTTTAAGATCCTTATGAAATTCTGAACGTTTTAACCACTTTATTGAAAATAAACCAAGTGGCTTGCAAATATTATCTTTAAATAGGTGTTTGTTTATAGCAACATAAACTATACAAATTATTGCAACAATAATCATACTAATATTATAAGTGAAAAGTTTAGATGTATGGATGGATGTTTGTAACAAGTAAACGGGAAATACTGGGCTGAAATTTGCTGTGATGATAGCTTGAACGTTCCCTATTCATATCTCAAAAATCCTATCGGGCTCCGCCCCAGTGGCTCTGGAGTTTTCCGTGTTAACCTTATAAGTATTCTTATATTTAAAAGGAATAAAATATTTTTGTCAGCTCTTTCACAAGTTGGTTCTATAATATTAAATAGCATTAAAAAGTTATAAGTTTACCAACAGAGAACAGCACGATTATTTTTTCCATTTATGACAATATCTCATTTGAACCAACTAGCAATAACCTTTGGAAAATGAGAATTTTCCTTTTTTATTGTTTAGGTACAGTGGTAGAACATTATGGCTATGGCAGATGTGCTATACTATAGCATACCGTAAATTAAAAGAACCAAATGTTCTTAAACCGCGTCCTCTCTTATTGCAAACGCAAAGCACGAGTATAACTGCAATAATCATATACAAACGCCAATCCCGTACGAAGGACGGGTACACTGCTAGTGAACATTATACCCTAATTTCTGACAAAAATAACCGTATTGGAAAACATCGAGTTACCGAAATCAATTGGCCAAAAGGAACCTTTCCTTGGTTTTGAGAAATCCGTCCCCTAAAAGCTATAATATACATCCAAACAAATATTACGTATTATTTGTTTTAAATGTTCTAAAAAAACAAGTTAAACCGATGGGTTGGCCTTATACTCATTTAATAGGGGCCAATTAACTCACAGAAGCAGGATGTGTAGTGAACAAAGCGGTGAATCAGTTCATTAGGCAGTTCTTTGATAGGATCAACTCATCCCTTCTGTGAGTGACTCAAAGAATCGATCAGGCGTCCCTTCAGTGATAAGTGATCAGAGTGATAAGACTCTGTCACTCTTGCGGTCGTTCGATCAACTCAGCCGCCTTGCTCTGATTTGCGGTGACTTCTGATGCGAAACAGATCCCACTAAGTGTTTTAACATTTGAATCCGATGTAAAAGGATTTTGTGATTTACCTGATTGGAAAATTTAGTTTTAATCGATTTTATATCAATTTCAATGCGATTTATAGCTTAGATGCTTGGAAACATATAGAGGGATCATTTAACAAGCGTCATTTAACACACTAATTGAGCCAAGCTCACTTTCCTTCACTTTTTAACTTCTTTGTAAGAGCATCAGAATGTAATGGCTTGACCAATTGATTTGAAATTTGGCCAACAGCTAAAGTACACTGAGCACAATGTTTTGGTAAAAAAATTTGCAAATTTCCTTCTGGATTTTATTTTACGGGTCACGCAATTTCGCTTGTTATTTTAATGTAAGTTGAAAGAAAAATTATATTGGGTTTATGACATATGGGTTTATCTCGTTTCATTTAAATAAGATAAACATATGTTAATTGTTTGTAACTGTTTTGTTTACATTTGAATGTTTACTTTCATCCTAGGTTAAAGTTGGAATGTAACAGTTTATCAATGGAAGTAACAGTTTTGCTATATAATGATGTGCATAAAGCACAAGGTATAACTGTGGACCAAGCTGTTGTGGAAATTGGATCTTCAGAATATGGATTAAGTTTGTCCTACGTAGGCCTATCAAGAGTTAAGACATTTGAAGGCCTGCTTCTGGATCCACCATTTTCGCTAGACCGATTGATGTCAATTAACAGACACGGATCTTGGGCAAAGAAGAAAGAAGCTCTTGACCGTTTAAACGAAATGTCAGATACACATGTCTAATAACCTTTTATCAATTCTTATTCTTATTCTTAACTAAATAAATGAACTATCAGATAAATTTGTCATTCTTTAGAACTTAAATAATATTGGGCAAACAAACGGTGAATCTGTTGAAAGGGAACATATTGTAGGTTGTTAGCTGCTTTAGCCATTGACAATCTTTAAATATAGCTTCGCTCATTTATGCGTCTAAAGTGTAACGGCAGACCACCCTAGTTATAGTTGCAGATTATAGTTTGTGAAAATATTAAGTATTTTTATTCAGTAGGTAAAATTCAAAGATTTAATCGTCATAATATTTCGTAAATGTTTTTAGGAAAAATGTTTAGGTAACAATTACAAATTACTGTAAAGGTTAAACAACTTCGTTTTAACACTGTCCAGTTAGACTATCGTTATGGGGTTGTGATATTATAGGAATATATTGCATTAAGTAAAATACAATGCTGGTTTCTCCCTAATTTGTCTTTAATTGTTTCTGAAATTATTACTATAAGTTGAAAATTTTATAGGTTTAGGTGTTTCCTTATCCCTTAGTTCGAACTGATAGTTGGAAACGGTAACACTAATAGACAGATGGATAGTTATTCTTGATATTACTTTCCAAAAGTATTCAGTTTTAATAAAACAATCATTCACATTTTAAAGACAATAATTAATTAAAAATATTTTTAATTACATTTACCTACGACCGTTTTTTAAAGTAGCCGTTTCAGTTCAGTTCATAGAATTGAAAATTTTCACATAACAGCATTGTTTACTTTCATAACAGCATAGTTTTACTTATAACAACCATTGAGATTTAGATTATAACTGGAGTCACTACTCTCTGGTTAAACATTAGAGAAAAACGTGCCACTGTTTTTGCTGGTTTGTTTTCGGTGTTTCGTGTTGTTAGGTTGGCCGTGTGATCGGTAGGTGGGATGCTGTCAAAGTTAAATTCCAATTCATTCTAACCTAACCATACTATTCATTTGAGGTTAGGCCTATCCGTTATTTCAAGGACTTATATAAAAAACTTATTTAAGACATTGCACGTTTAAACCAGTGCATTTAAAGTTATTTTGAAACATTATAAATTGTTTTTGATAATAAATAAATAGGCTACTAACTTATTTACCTCTTTTCAAGCTATGTGGTGAAAATAGGCTAGTCAAGTTTCCTGGTTTGGAGATATTGGTTTAGTCTTGGGTTTACTGTGGCAGGTTTACTTATGGCATTTGATAAAGAACGACCATCGGTTTATGATCTTGTTAAAACGGGTTGATCTTGCTCGTATAATAAATAATTAAACTTATATTGCAATCATAATGTTGACATATTTTTGTTTGCTATCAACAAGACAATAGGATGACGCCATCTTGATTTTTCCTCTAATTTGACAAATCCCACCAACCGATCACCTGGCCAACCTAACAACACGAAGCTCTGAAACAAAAACGTCAAAAACAGTGGTACGTTTTTAAAACACAGAGTGGTTAAGGTCGATTCACACACATCAGTCCAGTCACAGTTCCGTTACAGTCCAGTTGCAGTCCAGTTAGGCCCCGGGTACGATACGAGCGGTGAGCGGCGAGCGGCATGAGCGGCGCCGCTCTGACATCGGGTCTCATTTAGTTGCGTGTAAATTTGTTGAGGGTGGCCACGATACGTCTGAGCGGCGAGCGGCGGTGAGCGGCACCGCTCAGCGCCGCTCATGGTTCCAAGTCAAAACCGATTTTCGCGAAAACGCCGCTCGCCGCTCAGATGAGTCATGCATCAATTCGGCCTAAAATGACAGGGAAACAGCAGCAAACATGCGATACGAGTCGATACGTGAGGTGCAGTCCAGGTAATGTTTGTGGAATGACCAGCAAGGAAGTTTTAAAACACTTAAGTCACCAGAAAAGTATGGGAAAAAATTAGGGTTAAGGTTTTTCTAAAAACTAAGTTTTTCTCAGATAGCAACAAAAGTTGCAATACGTCTTGCAAGTAAGAATAGTTTACCATTTTATACTAAACTAACTCATAAAACATGGGAAACTTGATGAGCGTTATAAATGTGCCGCTTGTATCGTAGCCACCACCGCCGCTCACGTGCCGCTCAGGTTGCCGCTCGCCGCTTGCCGCTCACCGCTCGCCGCTCGTATCGTACCCGAGGCCTTACAGTCCAGTCACAGTTGCATCCGCAATTTCTCAGTCAATTGTCCGTCAGTTGGTTTCAGTCAGTCTTCCGTCTCTAAAATTCACAGTAATTTATAGTCCAAATTTTAAATTTATAAACCTATATTCTATCAAATTATCATCGTCCATCTTGTTGATTGTTACAAACAGTACTCAAAATACAAACGCAACCATTTAAATAACAATAACACTATTTTCTAACCTCAAACAGTTCCGTCAGGCGTCCGACCAATCAAAAAGTATCGTTGGAAAGAAATCTGAAATTGACTGACGGATGCCGGTAGAGCGACTGACGGGACTGCAACGGATAAGTGTAGATAGCGCAATAGAAAATCCATTAAAGAATATTTTTGTTAACTGTGACGTGCCTGAAGTGACTTTACTGTGACGTGCCGT